ATACAGAAATGTTATCAGATGCAGTGCAAAACCAACCTTCATACAATACCAAAGGAAAAGACTCTGGTATCAAGCTGACATGAGTGTGCCCTTGCTGATCCATGGCCCAGACAGCCTGGCACCTTTTCCTGTCCTGTCTGTGTCATGACATCATGAGACTTGACCAGAGCAAGTGCTTCTGACCAGCAAGTAGACAGTAACATTAATAGTGGAGGGCCAACTTTAAACGGAAAATGTACAAATTTCCTGGAAAAAGAAAACACATGATCCATCAGATGAAAGCAGTGCTGTGCATTCTTCTATAGAAATGGTTTTGTGACAAAATTCATTTAATCTTCATTCTTTCAGTTTTTATTTTGATTGGTGTAAGTTTACACTACACAGCATAGATTCCTTATTTATTAGGAGAGCTCAACAGAATGAGTTTAGGCACATGTGTGCAAGGATTCCTGGTCCTGATGGGATTTGCCATACACTCCATAGTGACGTGTGAAAGAGCACAGCCTGTTTCATTTATTTCGCACCTATCCAACAGCATCTTCCACAGATATACGCAAAATACTTCGGGGGGGGGGGGGAAGGAAAAAAAATTCAGAAATTAACACTGTCGATAGATTAAAAGAGTCACGACAAACACCACAACACTGATTCACCCAGCATTTCTAATGCTTTCTACTCTGGTCCTCTGGTCCTCTTTTTCATGTTTGGTTTGGGAGGAGACAGCGTAACAAAGGGACACTATATTCAAGACAGGGAAGATGAACTTTATGATATGGCCGGATGAACTCAGTTGTGCTGCAGAGTTGAAGGTCATTCTTTTTACTGGAGTAGTGGCTACTCTGGGATTGGTCTATGTGAGATCACAGTTGGCCCCCTCTATCTCCTGTTTATTTGCTGTTTATCTCCTGTGTCTATGCTCTTTACTTGATTGTAGTGGGCAAGCAGTCTCCATCATATTCTGTTTTCTTTTTCTGTTATGCAGCAGCCACCAAGGTGTCAATAAATATTACTTTAAAAAAATGTTCTCTTCGTATAAACTCAGGAGAGAGACAGAAATATCTATCGGAAGTCCTTTGGGGAGTGGGATTTGATGCCCCATTGGAGCAAATTGCTGCTTATCCACCCATCCCAAAGACGTTTGGCAGTAGCACTGCTGAACTCACTGAAGCTGTGACAACTTAGCTTGTCTGAGATCTGCCCCAAGAGGCTCACTAGGTCAGAACTGTCCTCCAGACTGCAGCTCTTAACTCCATAAAGGACTTGAACAAATAATTTCATGTCAGTAGAATCTGGTAAAATCCATCAGAGTTTCACCATTTGTCAAGCATAGTTAAACCTGCTGGAGAATATGGTATTAAACAGCTAGATATGTGATGGAAACACAAGGGTGGAGTCATACTTCTGGTGAATAATATGCCATTGGAAAAGTAAAAACAAAGCCAGATGATAGTCCAGATAAAGAAAGCATAAGAAACTGAGCTCCAGTTCTAATAAATCTGCTTCATCTCTGCCTGCATGACACAGCTACTTTCCCAAGTGTCTGAGCTTGGAAATTCAAAGAAAGCTTGCAAACTAAATCTTGTCTTACCCGGGTAAGAATAGGTTCATTCTTCAGTAGAATTAAAGACATTATGTCAAGTTAAGTAAAGCATTATGTAACAGCCATTTCATTTCTGTTATATTACCCATCTTTTTTTCAGACAGAAGTGCATTTTAGATGAATATTTAATGCTTTTGCTTTTAAGAAAGTATCTTTGAATCCCTTCAGTCTGCTGCTGACTTCAGGTTCCTGGGAGAGGAGCTTCTGCATGAGCTGCATGCTAGTGTGCTGTCAGATAGCGTGACTGAAAAGGAAGGTGCAGCTCAGAATGACAGCTGAATGGGGCAGAGCCACACATCTTCCCTTAGAAATTAGCAGAAGACTTGTCACCTGAGTGCATCCACTGAGATGCTAGTTGCCTGTGTCCAAGAGGGAGAGTGGGAAAAACAGCAGATGCATGTTGTGCCTCAGAAAAGAGGCAAAGCGTCTTCAAATGAACCTTCAGATGGCACCTTCAGATGAACTGTAGAACACAGCAATTTTTCCTACAAGTTAAGACTGTTTCTCATTCTTAATATTTTTCTTAGCAGTGAAGCAATTCAAATATTCATTCAGCATATTGTGCTTTAAAAATATAATTCATAAAGATCAGCAGGCATGGTTTCAGTCGTTGCCAATATTACTCATCACACCAGAACAACTTGTGTATTTTTTAACTATGTTCTTTCTTCTATCAGATCTCGTCTCTTTTCAGATGTTGAAGTGTGAAGCTCAGTGATTGATTCACCTTTTGTAGAACTGATGCGTGAAATTTTGTTTCTAGTCTGATTCAGTAAATGTCGTCTGTTTTGTCATGTAGGTGGCTCTTCATGTACTATGCTTGCTCTTGAAAATCTGGTTAGTAGGGAAAGCAAATGCATTTTAATCTGAAGATTAAACAGTGATAGATTGTAAAAACAAGCAAACAAACAGGCCTTACGCACACTTACCTCTTTCCCTGATAAACTTAATATTTTTTTTCCGGCCTGGAAAGGAGCAAATGATTTCATTGCAAGTCATCCTGATCGCTTGGGTAAAGTTTTGACCAGTGAGGTATAATGCAACACCTTTTGACCTCTTTCTCTGGTTTCTAAGCTGAAAGATGTTACCGTTTCTCTGAGCAGCAGAAGCATAGATTCTCAAAAAGATTAATGAACTTTTCTGCCTGAAGCTGATACATTTTACAAATGTTCATTCACATTTCTGGGCTCTCCATGTGGCTGGCCACTGTAGTCTTCTACACCTGCATATTGCTCAGGAAGTTCTACATAATATACTGATAGCAATGCCTATTGAAGGGAGAACATCTTAGTTTATCTTTAAAACACTATGACATTGACATTTAGCCCAAAGCTGTGTTGTAACTGTATAGATGTTAAAGCATTTTAATTTAATACTGTTACATCTCAGTATATACACTTTTTAACTACAGAATGGCTCTATTACTGGGTTTTGCTGTTACTATGAAAACATGACTATGCCAGACCAACCTCTAGAAGAAAGAGAGAACTTCTGTTTTATCAGTGAGTAATTTTGATAGCTCAATTTTGGAACCTCAAAGGCTGTATCATGTTTAAGTCTTTACTTGCAGTGAATCATAAAATCATTTAGGTTGGAAAAAACTTCTAAGATCATCAAGTGCAACCATTAACCCAGCACTGCCAAGTCCACCACTAAACCACGTTCCTAAGCACCACACCTACACGTCTTTTAAATACTTCCAGGGATGGTGACTCCACCACGTCCTTGGGCAGCCTGTTCCAATGTTCTTGGTGAAGACATTTTTCCTCACATCAAATCTAAACCTCCCCTGGCTCAACGTGGGGCTATTTTTTTGCCATCCTATCGCTTGGTACCGTAGAGAAGAGACCAGCCCACCTCACTACATCCTCCTTCCAGGTAGTTGCAGAGAGCATTAAGGTTCCCCCTGAGCCTTCTCCTCTCCAGACTAAACAGCCCCAGGTGCCTCACCTGTTCTTCATAACACTTGTGCTCCAGACCCATCACCAGCTTTGTTGCCCTTCTCTGGACCCGCTTCATCACCTCAGTGTCTCTCTTGCAATGAGGGGCACAGAACTGAACACAGGATGCAAGGTGCAGCCTCACCAGTGCTGAGTACAGGGGGGATGATCACTGCCCTGGCCCTGCTGGGTGTGCTGTTTCTGATACAGGCCAGGATGCTGCTGGCCTTCTTGGCTGCCTGGGCACAAGCTGGCTCATGGTCAGTGCCCATCAGTCAGCATTCCCAAGTCCTTTTCTGCTGAGCAGCTTTCCAGCCACTCTTTCCCAAGCCTGTAGTGTAGTATGGGGTTGTTGTGATGCAACAAAACTGCTTTACAAATCATAAACTTTCATTCTGAAATTGAATGTTTCACCTTTCCCCGCAGTTTTGAAAATATTCTCTAACTGTCTCTGTTTTACTGTCCTAGGCAAAATATGGTGGTAAAATGATCAGAGTGAGGCTTGCTTTGCACCTTAGCCAACAATACACATGGAAAAACTTTCTGGCAGAGATGTCTATGTAGATTACTTGAAGCTAAAACGTTGTACTCCTTATATTATTAAAAATCAGTCTAGTTTCTTGAAATGAGATTCAAGGCTAGTTACTGTTTGAGGAGCAGATAGTGCCAGAGAACAATAAAGATGGGTTTGTTGAAAACAGATTTTATAATAAATTGTTCTTAGTATTCTTGATCTTCTTGATCATTTGCCTCAAACACTTTTGTGCTTTTTCTACAGTGATATTTTGTGTAAGATACTGCATTAGAAATTTATTTCATAGGCCGCATTTAGGAATGAGTAAGACTTCTGTTCCTGCCTCACTTAAGGGTCTCCCTGAATCATGATAGAACAAGCTTCCTGTGATGTATCCATCATCGTTGTCTTTATGTTTCTGCAGGCTTCCTCCTTTTCCTTTCATCTTTATTTTTCCTAATTTTGTTGATACAAGATTCTTACAGAGACTACAGTAGCTGCTCACATGCCCAGGAATTAAATGTAAAAGGAAGGACTCCTGAAAACTTTATTACGTTAAGTGCTTTTCTTTGTTTGCTGTAGTCTTGTGGTTTTTCCTCTAGCCTGTGATGTGTTACACTCTGAAGCAGATGATGTTTCTCCAGCACAGGAGAAACCCTTGCCAGGGCAAACCTTGCTGAACAGTGAGAAAGCTTAATGCGGCAACACTCTTGACTAACTTTTGTCTCTTTTTACAGAGGTTCAGGTTTATCATTGTACAGTTATGTTGCCACTGAAAAAATAATAGGAGGAATCAAAGCACTGTAACATAGCAGCTTTACAGGGCTACCAGCATCTCTTTGATGACCCATAGCCTTCATAAACCACAGCGTAATTGCATTAGGTAGCATATATAATACCTCTGTTTGTTCCTTAATTTTATGATGATCACTTTGGCCTGTTTCAGATAAGAAGACAAGGCGGAATACAATTACTGGTGGACCTATTGGACCATCGGATGACTGAAGTCCACCGTAGTGCCTGTGGAGCTTTGAGAAACTTGGTATATGGGAAAGCAAATGATGACAACAAAATTGCTCTGAAAAACTGTGGTGGTATCCCAGCATTAGTACGGTTACTCCGCAAGACTACAGATTTGGAAATCAGAGAACTGGTCACAGGTTTGAATCTTTCAATATGTTTCGGTCAAGCTCTATATAGACCCTCCAGGGACAGTTCTGTGCTGCATGTCAGTTGCTTCATCAGTAACTCTTTATTCTGTCACTATCTTTGCTGTAATAAAACAGTTTCAAGCCCTTTGGATATATGTAATGTATGAATAGCTTCATTCAACATCATGCAGACAGTTTACAGATGTAGGCATGGTTTATGCTTAGGGTTGCTGGGCCCTTTGTCCTTGGCTAGCCATGAATGCTCTTGCAGGAGATATGCTTTGTACACACATACGCTGTGTTGGGAATCCTGCTTGCTCTCTGTTCTCCCTCCTGTATGGTAGGGCTGCACATACAGAAGATGTATTTTACTGAATTTTCTTAAAAGCAGTTGTTCATTTATTTTATATCCTGTATAGTGAAAAGGAGGATCGGGGGGGAGGGATGGATTTTTTGCCTTTCTTGTGGTTCTGATAGGAAAATGAAAAAAGCATTGGAGAGATGGAGCTGTTGGAGAGATGGACAATGTCATTTTCTTACATCTTTTTTCTGAAACTTGGTAGCATGCTATGTGATGTCTGTTAGACACAGGGTATGCAGGTCATGACAGAATCTGTTTCTTTTCTTGATAGAGTAATATCTGATCTTTTTAAGATTGTTTGAATTTTGTCCCTTCAGAAATTCAAGTTGGAGTGTTTTGTTTAGTTTAGTTTTTGGAAATACAGGAATACTGTCAACCAGCACCAATCTGAAGTGTTTGGAGATTTTTAAGCCTTGCTCCCAAGTTATCCTATTTAAAATGAAAAACAGAAGTTAGTTAGTTTGGGGTTTTTTTTTTCACTTTGTGATTTCATTCTGTTTGATTGCTAATATCAGTGTAGTGATTAATTTAATGGTACAAATATAAAATCTTAAGATCTTTTAATTTTACCATTTTACAATGACTGTATTTCCATTATATTTTCCTACTCAAATATGCAAAAAAAAGTTCTCCTTTCTGTCATAGAAGCATTAGAGTACGCACTACCATCCTGCAGAAATTATTTACCCTTGTGGGTCAGGCCTCATTTAGGATACAATTGATAAGATTATTGTCCTTTGGTTGACTCCAGGTTCCTTCCTTTAGGGCGTCTGAATAAACTGCATGGTGCTTATTAAATGTAGGTTTTTATATTTAATTTTGTTTCTTAGTTACAACACCTATCACCTCATACTTGTTAGGCGGGATTAATGGGCCAGAGATACTGGGTTACACAGGCTTGGAGGGTGCTTCCTGCAGAGTGACAGAATTACTGACACATCTAATAAAGTGTAACCACTGCTTCGGATTCAAAATACTTGTTTGTTTCTTGATTATGTTGCCTGTGTCCTGGCTCCAGGGAACATTCTGCCTATTTATTCTGAGTAGTAGGTGGCAAACTGCTAATGAACAGTCTGCAGTTGTAGTGGCACTTCCCGTGCTGTCTATAGACAGAACACATAATGTCATTAGGTCGTTTGAAGAAAAGGTACTAGGCTACAGTTTACATTCCTTCCATTGCATAGTATGTTTTTAAATTTTCCAGTATTGCCACAGAAAAAAAGGATATGTGTCCTAGCATGCCTACAAACTGTTACTACTAAGAGTAGGTCCTGGCCATCAGTGGTAGACAGTAGCCAGCCTTTGTACAGATAAATGCAGCTTCCAGGGGTGGTGAGCATCAGGAGTGCAGTACACCTATGAAAGGGGAGCAGAGCAAGATGGTGACCCTGAGGAATGGAATCAAACTCGGTGATGATATTCCTGGGCCTGGTTTTGTGTTGGGTTTTTTTTGTTTGTTTGTTTGTTTTTAATAGCCACTACCTCTCTGGAGGCCGGTGCTTGCCCAGGATGAGGTTTGTGCCTTTGAGAATGCAGATAATTGATCCTCGCAAACCTGGTTGTGGTAGTGTTCTGAGAAGCTCTTTTCCAAATCATGGTTCATAGCTGCACCTCTCATCTTGCATCACTTAGGAAACAAGCTGGAATTGCATATCTGAATCAGCTCTCATTTGCTTATTTGTAAAGTGTTGTAGTGTGACAGCTACCCCAGTTAAATTCCTTCCGTCTGTCCTTCCTGTGGAAGGAAACATAGCTCCTGCAGCAGCTGCCTCAGTAAGGAAGAAGTTTGGCTTGGTGATGGACACAAGAGAAAAGTAAGTTTCCATCAGCCTTCCTGAGTTGAGGTGGCAAGAAGGTAATTATTTCACTAGTGTCACCATAGCCTGAAGGGAGTACAGAGAAAATAATAGAAAATGTGTGGTTTAGGAGTGAGTAAACGTAATACCTTGAGCCTTTCCATCTCATGTTCCTTGTGTATCCTGTCTACATAAAAAACTGTTCTTATTTGTTACTTTTGGAGATGTCATAAGGTTCCTGCCTTAGGAATTCATATAGGCTCTGTTATCTCCACACCTAAATACTTCATCATTTGTCCTCAGAGCTCTTCTCTAAGGTGGGGAAGCATCATTATCTTGGTTGTACAGGTGGAGAACTGAGCCTATCAAGTCTAAATAACCTGTCCAGAAATCTGGCAAGACGAAGGTGTGAATCACTCTGAGTAGCCACTCAGCTGCAAGGGAAGAAATAGGGGCAGAAGAGGTTTTTAGCAGCTCAATTTGTCTGAACAGCAGCAAAGCATTCATTGCCTGCTCCAAGTACCATGAAGCACACACCTGCCGGAGTTGATAGTTATGATATTAGTTCATTTCTCAAACATGCACATTTTCTTCCTTGATGTTGCTTCTCTCTAGGGAGACTGCAATTTCAATTTCCAGCTATCTCAAGACTGGTTTTGGAAGGGTATTTAACTCTGCTTTCTATCCTGATAGCTCCTTGCTTCTCAGGATTGCCTTCACCACAATTTGTGGCTTTTCCTCTTTTCCAGAGATTCTTTTTGCCATAATCTCTCCAAAACTGAGTTTCTAATTTCTTCCTTTATCTCATGTTCCTCTTCTTCAGTAGCAGAGGTCTCAGGCTAATACTGGGAGAGCTTACCATGCTCAAAATTTGGATTGTGCAAACTGAACCTTATTGCAGACTGATTCAAGGCTTTATGGGGAGCAAATGGTTTTGGAGCAGCTCCCATATAGAAGCCACTAGGGAATGGTGCTGCGTGGCTGTTACAAAATTAAATTGTGTTAATGTACAGGAAGATACTGAAAGATTATTCTTCCAGAAACACTTCCATAGTCACTGTTGCCTATTAGAAGAACCCGGATAAACTGAACTATACCAGTGAATATATTTATTTATGCAGGAATTAAATACTCTGATAGAAATAGAGATTTCAGCATGGCCTACATTCTCTGGTAATTTCCAGAGACTGTGGGAGAACCTGAATTACAATAGCTTATTTCATATAGGTCTGTAAATGAAAATAAATAGGTATAAGTTGGATGAACCATACTTAATTTAGCCATCTTTTTGCCCCAGCGCTGTGCTGCTAGTTCCTGCAGTACCTCCTGTTAATGGGAAAAAATAAAAGCATTCTATTTTAAAATAATTAAATGTTAACACTTTTCTAATAAATATAAATAGATGAGAACACAGTACAAAATTAGCACAGATCCTGCAGATGGTAGAAAAAAATGTTTTCACTTGTTAATAATGACAATGAGTGCCTGATTTCTGATTCTCTTGCCTTTCCTGAGTTAATTATGAACCCTTCCACAAAATTCTATTTTAGCTTTCTTTCTGTTTGTTTTGCTGTCAGGAAAAATAAATGACATGAAAAATGCTAAGTGTTAGCAAGAATAACACAGGAATCCCATTGATGTCTTGTGCGGAAGCAGAGGTCAAGCAGCTGTTTTTAGATTCAGCCTACACTTGCTGCTTCTTCCATCAGCTCCTTCTGATAACTAGGTACCTGTCTCAGACAAAATGTTTTAAACTGCCATTCTTCTCATTTTGGTAAACAAAATCCATCACAACCAGAAACACAGCTTCTGCCTGCAAACAATAAGCTAGCTCAATTAGAAGCAGCTCTGTGTGAAGAGGCCCCTTATATGACCGTATCACCTGTTTTCAAACTGTATATACCATGTTTGATTGAAAGGTAAAAGTGAATGAACCACTTTTAGAAAGCACATTATGATAAAGAATTATAGCTATAAATAATGACAGGGGAAATTGATCTTTCCTGTGCCGGCAGCCAGCCTGCTGCCTTTTTTGGTTGACATTAAGGTGTCAGAGATGTAACTATTGTCTACTGAAAATATGTAAACTATGAAAATCGTCACATTTACAAAAAAAATCAAACCAAAACCAACCAAACATAAACTGACACTGTATACATATACTGAATGTAAATAGATAGATAGACATATAATCTTTGTATTTTGTTTACATATTTATTCACTGAATCAAGAATAATATATTCCATTCCTGCAAAAAAATTGTAAGACATTTTGTACGAACATTCCTTTCAAAGAAGCACTAGTTGTCCAAGTGCATTTGGCCCATTGTCAGGTCATACTGGAAAAAAAAATTCATTTACTTCCCAGATCTGGGATTCCAGTATTCATTAGTGTTGTCTTTAATTTCAGCCCTAGCCAGTTTCTGTTTTGGCTCTGTTGTCACCTCATGTTATGCAATGTTATTATGTAGTTGTTATACATTTCTGTTCGGTTTAATAAATGCCACATGTTTTATAAGGTGGTATTTATAATCTTATTGATAGTCTGTCAGTGTTACTGAAAGCACTTATATGTTGTGCTCCTTGTTTCTATCTGATTCAAAGTAACCACTGCAGTTTAAACTTTGTTTTGATTGCATACTGTTTATTAGTATGTGCATAAATTGTTGGCAGGTTGGTCAAGAAACTCCAGAAGGTCCCTTTGAGCCTTGCAGGTGTCTTTGCTAATCAGTGTAATTGCAAGTTAGTGAGCCTGCAGTAATGTGTGAAGCAGGTTTAAGGGAGTACTCTGATTAAATGGCCCTTTTGGCCTTCTTCAGTGGAAAACTAATTATAATTTTATGTGGGGGGTTT